AGCTACTGCGACCTCATAGAACCAATAAATAAATATTTCCCAATTGTGAAAATAACTCATCTTGAAACGTGCCCAAAACGTTTCTGTAAAATAGCTTTTGATTACTCATTATCATTCTCTTTTATCTTCAATAAATATTTTTCTGAAATATACTTCTGAGCAATTATACATAATTCTGTTCAATAGTCCTCATGAGATAGCGTTGCTTTCAACATAGTAATCCCAGGAGGAAAATGAGCAGAATATCCCCCCATATATTAATACTTTGCATACATAGTGCTACTCTTATCGTTAGTTCCGCTACGTCACACGTGCCTACGTATTTATGCATGAGAGCAAATGCACAAATGGCTTTGCAAATGTTCCGACTTCCACAATTTTACGCCGGGTTAATTTGACTGGGAAAAAGCGAGGCTTAAGATGTGAACTATCTGGAGCGGGAAATCAGAACGAGTCGGAAATGGTTGACAAATTATCATCTCCCACGTGAGCTGCAGTTTCTAGGTCGGCAACCAGACAAGTGATTATTATTGGAGCCCTTTGAGGTTTCTGTTCAGCGACTGAAATCGTGTTTGCGAATATAATCGTAAATTTTGCAATACCCCCTGCACGCCTCATTCGGATTAATTACCAGTCCAAACAAACCAAATTGGTATTTACAGCACAAAGGGTTTGCCTAACCCTCTATTAGGTCGTGAATATTTATTTAGCTTATGTTTGTCGCCCCGGCCCTGTTCCTTGTACGGAAGCAATCCATCCAAATTGTGCTGAGTTTGGCCATTGTAGCCTCACCCCCAACCCTAGCAGAAGTTGAGCCAAGAGAATATCATGTGAGGGGCAGAAACAGCAGGGAGCATAATAATCTCTTCTTTTCCTATCTGACTTTTCCATCTTTCATCTCTGATACAGGATTGCCAAAGATTCAAACTTTCTTTTCGGAGATTTTCTTTCTTTTGGGAGGAAATTCTCTAGCTGTCACTGCAATCGTGAAGGGAAATGTTCTGCAACAAAGATTCTTCAACAGAATAAGCAAAATCAACACTTTTTAAAATCTGGCTTTGTTAAAAGGGAAAAAATAAATTTCAATTTCTGGAACTTTTCTAATTGTAAGAATCAAATTATAATTTAAATTGTACGAAATGCGGTAAGAAAAAACTTAAACTGTTTTTTGCGACCATTTTATTTAACTTGAATTACAGAAATATGATCAGGTTAATTGTTCAGCTGAAATATCTGATAAATTTCGTTTTTCCCGTTACTTTTTTTAATTGCTCAAAGGCGCTCATATTTTTTTTATATTAAACTTTTTTCCCTTAAAATCTTTTTGCTATAGTTTCCATGTAATCCTTATATAATACTGTTACTATATTTTTATAAAAATGACTTTCTTTACGTGAGAGTAGAGTGCAACATTTGCTTTTACTTCCATTCTATTTTTTCCACAAGGCCAAATCGAGTTGAAAGTGTGAAATGTAGATACCGGAAAGCTTTTTTTTCGCGAAAGAAGTGTGCGCCAAGAAAAGGAAAATAAATCCATTTGAGGCGTTTTGTCTGCCTCCTCGAGCTGATCAAAAGGAGCAGCAAATGTACACATCATAAAAGGATGGAATACATATATCACAGCAACAAATATAAAAGCCACCCCCTCTGAAAGCAAACCTTGGCACAATCGTGTAAAAAGCACGTGCCCGAGATTTATTGTGTTGGCAAAAAAAGTGCCTTGAAACAATGGAATAACGACCAAAACGCGGCACGGTGCCAATTTGGCACAAATTATTTTTACCTTGGTGAATCGCACCTCTATTATTGATCTCTACCAAGATCAAAGTAATCAAGCCAACTGACCACCACAGGCCAGGTGTCTCTAATCAGTTGCAAAAAAAAATAACTCTGGTCTTCCACTGATATCACAATCGATTCCATGCATGTTTTTTAATTAAAGTAATTACAAAAGCAATCAAAAATTTGCAGTGAATTGTTGGATTGACAACCAATGAGAGCTAATCTTCATTTCTCAGCCTTTTCATACAAGCGTGCAGAAAATTTTGCAGACTGAAGTTGGGCAAAACGGCTAATTGATTTTGACGTTGTGAAAACTTACTACTGAAAGTGTAAAAGCACGCAATGGTCGCTGAAATTAATCTCAAAGATAAATTATATATGAATTTCCTCTTTTTTCGAGATTTCAAATTCGTTTGAATTAAGTAATTCAAGGACAAAAACACAAATTATTGCACCTCTTTTTTAATTTCATTATCATTACATATTTACATTTTTTATGATTTAATTTTATTTAAAAAAAAAACCAAGCTCACAATGGAAATATTTGAGGACATTTCAATTTTAGAAACATTTTTGCGTTCTTCCAAGAAATAATCGGCATCTTCTCAAATTAAATTGGTCGCACATATTCCGTTTTATTCAGCTATTTACTCGATAAACAACTTTATTCATAAACTTTATTGAAAAATAGCTTTTCTAAAATTAAATTTGAGTTACAAAAATAATGGCAAGGACAATGATCAACTCTGGTTTCCATTATAAATAGAAAAAACAGCAGCATTATTGCATCAAGGAAAAATCAAGTTTTCAGCTTCATAAAATCTAGTGATAATTTTTGCAGCTTTAAAATTAGAAGTTCATCAAGTACTAATTGCTAATTGTAAAAACTAAAACCTTACTTTTCTCCAATATTTTCTTCAAATATTTATTGGATTTGTTTAGTTTGTAAAAATTTAGTATTTTTACATGTATTCATTAGACTATAAATATATAACTGTTAAGTGTGTTTTCCTTTAGAGTTAAATGTCTTCAATAATAACTATAATAAGCACCATACTCATCAGATTCTGCTGTCTGCAGTTTTATCTTTCCATCAGGAAGCGTATGTTGGCGAATCAAGAGCCGAGTTTGGCAGTAAGCCAGGAGCTGCTCTCCATCGCACGTCAATCTCTATTATTCATGTCTGCACTCTGGCAATAATTAACCCCGAAAAAGCAAACTCCGCATCGCCAGTGTTAAAGGCCACGTGTGCGCTCTCTGAATAGTCTGACTTTGTGAACTTCAAAAATTTTAGAGATGGAAGCAATATTGGTAATGCGAGCATTCCGCATTCCGTAACAAGAACAACACTTTATTATTATGGAGAAGTGTAGAAGACCATAAAAAAGAATGGCATTTCCTTTTTATGAGGAAAACTGCTGAGAAAATAAAACCAATGGCTAACGAGGTGTAAGAAAAATTCACAATATATGATATATCGGAGCAAATTATACAACGAGGGAGTGAAATTTACAACCCATTCAAAAAAGTCGATATTACAGTAAAAAAAATCAGCTCCATAACGACCATAACCCAGATGATAAAAAAATCCTCTAATGCTCACATTAATAACTTATATTGCTCCAATAAATTCGCGGATTTCATCTTCCATTTGGGTTGCCAATGAAATGCTCCACTGAGTGATAATGGGCACGCAACCGCACAACCCCCCTTATCTCAAAGTGTGGATAAGATTCCATCACACGCGTAAACGAGATTTACTTGTATATCCAACAGAGCAAATTCTTGTTTACCGCTTTGCGAAGAGAAAGCATACAAGCGTGTCATCTCAGCAGAGACGAAATCTATTTTGACCAAACAAACTGCTCCCTCGCTAGGCGCTAAAAGCGATATCCTCGACTGACAAACAAAACTAATCCTCTAAGTCTCTGCGCTCATCCAATGATTTATTTTCACAAAACTTTAAGATAATCCACTTCCTGATAGGGAAAATGTATAAATTAATCAAAATAATAGCCTGATATATAATATATAAGTTTTACATATTGCACACCGGAAATCCTTCCCTCGCGACATAATTGTTTGAGAAAATCGAAAAGTGCGTACTTCGTTTTTAAAGTTTCCTTCGTCAAAACCTCTTCGCCGCCGCTGTTCACAAGACGAAGGGAGGCAAGCCAGAGCGAAGAAACGTGTGCCGCTCGTTTTAATAGACTTTTGTGCAATATTTGTTTAGAACGCGTTAATTTAAAGTATTCAAATTGTACAGCGCTATAAGAAAATTAAAAGCAGCATTTTGTGATATGCTAGTTTAAAATAATATTAATTAGGAGCGGAGCTATTAACGTTTCCGCGAGAATTTTGTTCCATCAATTTTAAAAATAGATAGCCATTTAAAAAATATAATAACTCTAAAAGAAAAATGTTGCCAATTAAAATTTCCTACAATTTCTTTCATAAACTCGGTGACGTCAGAATTTTTTTACTAACGTGCGGAAAGCTCAAAGTAAAAATATAATTTTTTAGCAAAGATTACAAGATTTCAAAAAAATTTTCAAGATCGCCTCATTTGGAAATTTAATGTTGACCCTGGGATTAAAATTTCATCTAAAAATATTGAGTGGTTTCGAAAAAAGAAAATAATATTGGATATACATTTAACGACACTCCTGCAATGACCAATCCAAGTTGGAAAAAAACCGTGTTTTGACAATAGATATTTAATATATGCAGTACATGGGTGTCACTTTACAGTACATAATTATATTTTTTTTCTCCCCGCGGAAAAGCTTGGTTTATCTCATCAATAAATAAATATTCAGGGATTTTAAAACATAATGATCTTGTATTTTTTATTATTATTCAATAATCTCTATCCCTATGAATATTTTTAATTTTTTAGTCGCTATTCAAAAGACTCATCTCCACATTTTTTGATCGAAGATGGAAAATTTTTCCTATCTTGTCAGCTGTAACGCAAAATCGTTTTTGCTTCTCTGGTGTTTTTTTCTTCGCTCTGGCACTTTTTGAAGTGAGAGAGAAGTTTGCATTAAATATTCAAAAGTATAGCGTCCCGTGCGAGTGGAAAAAGATTCTGGGGAGTAGTTTGGAGAGATTGCGTGCGAGTCACGTCTGTAGTGAAAGAGGAAAGTTGGTGCAGACGTGGCCAGCCTTCTCATCCCTTCTTATCCTGTTAATAATGGTGTGCGTGGTCTTTGCAGGATGCTTCGGCTGCTGCTGGTGCTGCTCGCTGCGGTCGTCGTCGCCTCGGCTCAAAGGTAAGCACTCAAAAAATACAATTTTATCTGCAAAGGGACACCATCAATCTCGCACCTGTCCCCAAAATGATATCTCTTTGCGGAATTTTGTCTGTCACTAAGATCAACAACGTTTTTTGCAAATTAAATTTTTAGAACTCTGACCTGCAATTTTTCCAGACTCAAGCAGGAACAAAATGAGAATCTCGAACTTTATTTTCTCTTTTTAAGCTTTTCATTTACTGTCATAAACCAATTCATTAAAAAAAAAAAAACACGATAGGACATATTAAGGCATATAAAGAGTTCAAATTTGGTAATAAATGAACAATCGGGACTAATTATCGTTGAAAGTATCCATGGTTTTGAGATAAAAATAAAAGCGTTAATTGAAATTGAATGATTAAATTCAATTAAATTTCTTTTATAAAAAATTAAACTATTCATATTGGAATTTTGCACTCAATGAGTTTGTATTTCTAAAAATAAATTAAATTCTGTGAACTAAATAAACACAATTTGCAACTAAATAAATTATATAAATAGGTCCGAGCTGGGTTAGAGTTTAAACTGCAAAGTAAATAAGATCTTATAAGAGGATAAAGTTGCAAAGTTTTATCACAAAAAATTTAAGTCAAATATAAATAGCTCTTCATTAAATTAACTAATTTTTATTAAACTATACTTGGTACGTAAAGCCAATATTCCTCCTCGTTATTGCTATTTCTATTGATTACTAATTAGCTTTATTGGCAATAACGAATCTTGATTGCATAAAAAAATTTCAATATTAGTCAGTAGCAGATATCAACTTTCCGCATTCACAATCTAATGAAGTGCCTCCTTCTCCTCCTTAACTTACCAAACATGGAAAATTGCCATTACGCAAAAAGTTTAACGATCTTTCACAAGATCGGAAAATGCTTTTAACCAACGTCATTGCTCGCAGTGATGAGGTCGCTATCAAAAATTTAATGCAAACTCTTCTTTTGTTTCATTTTTGTCGTGGCGTGGAAAATTATTTAAACCTTTTTTAATGGAAATTTTTATTTTCAGAGTTCTCTCACGGGGATCAAAGAGCCATTAAAAATAAATATTCACATAATTTTTTTTAAATGAAGTTTCTCTTTGTGGAGAGCGAAAATGGAAGTGACAAGTTGTTAGGGCGGACACCCTTTCTAATTTTAAAATAATCCTGTTAGTCCGCGGCACGTGACGGGAAAATCGAAAGCCAGAGAAGTTGTGTGTGGGGGATGAGGATGGCCTGCTGGATTTTACATCCCTTTGGGCCCGTCCTTTTTACTGCCTGGGCAATGATGTAAAATCTCGAGAGCAGAGAATTTACTGCCACAGACTTTAATTCCGTTGCCACTCGCCGGATATTTTCATTTACCGAGGGGGAAATGTGAATCGCAGCCGGTCAAATGACTGCTTTTATTGAAGCTCTGATCAAGATAGGAGAGAATGAAAGAAGAAAATAGAAAAGAAAACCGACCGTATTGAGCAGAAGGTACTTTGTGTGAAACTAAAAAAGGAGAAGCTAAACTAACTCATAGTCAGTACTTTCTCCCACAGAGAGTAATTCACCACAGCACTTTGAGCACTTGAGAGTTGAGAGTACCATTGCTCCACTCATTATAATAGTTTTTCTGCAAATAAAACAGTTTTGACAAGATTTTGAATTGCAATTTAATTTTGATTTATTAATTTCTTTTTAATTTAGTTCATATTATATTTTGAGATTCACAAGATTATAATCATTTCCAGAAATATTTAAATCACATTTAAAAAAATTGAGATAAAAATGAATAATCATAATCTCAAACATGAAAGTTTTAACTTATGTTAAATATTCTCTTGTGGTCCATCAATTATTTTCTTTGCCTAATTTTACTGTATTTTTTTATTCACACAAAAAAAAATCAGAAAATTAGCTCAAAATATTTTGTTGTATTTTTCAATTTTATAAATGATAATTTTTTTAATTAAGTAAATTTAATTGAACTGACAAATTATGTTTAGAAACTCCATCAAAACACTGATGATTTTTAAATCATAGAAAAAAGGCTGAATGAATGAACTCTATTGGACGTGACCTTCCGGCTAATTAGAATTTATGCCCTCCAGGGTTTTCTCAATTTTCCACCGTTTTTAACGTTTCTAGCTAACAAGAAGTCATTTTCTTAGCTGACATTTTCTCTGCGGAATTCTCATTTAAGCTTAAATAGGAAAAACGATAATAATAGGCCTAGTAGCGTCACATGTAACTAAAAACTTTTTCCATTAAAGAGCAACGCCTGCTGCTGTTGTAAAAATTATAATTAAGTTGCAAATTTATTCTCACCATTTATGATTACTATCCAATTTAACTCTTCGACACAGATTATTATTAACTATTTCATCAAAAGTTTAGTATTTGATTATCTTTTAAAATTTACTCTCAATTTATCTTTATATATGAATTTTTTGGTAACTTTTCCCTTCAAAGTGCTGAAATAAAGAAAAAGAAGTGGAGAGTAGTGACCCACGCCATTTTGGGCATTCAATCTTTCATTCCTTTCCCTTTACTCTTGACGAGACTAAAAATTTATGACTATAGCTTTTTTAATTAAAATCTGCAGGCATCTGTGTGTACTATGGTTGGTCTGGTTGAAATTTGATGAAAGCGACAATTAATGAGTAATTTAGACGCGACCTTACATTTCGCAGAAACCGGCAGAAATGAAGAAAAAAAAGTGAAACAAAAGTATACAGCGAGGGTTTTATTGTATGACCCCTTTCATTCAGACGCACGTTCAGGCTGATATAATGATAAAAGGGACAGCTTGTTAAACAACCTTCAGTCAATAGAGAAGGAAAATGGGGAAAATTCAACAACGGCAACAGAGCCGCTTTCCTCGTTTTTTTTCTTCTTGCATTTGAAGGAGGAAGGACACGATGATATTTAATTTCAGAGAGAAGAAACTTTAAGAATCACCAAAATCACAATCGAGCTAACATCAGATTTTTTGAGACTTACGTCTTATTAAATCTTGTTTGTAATCAATAAAAAAATATGGTTAAACAAATTTTAAAACCTTTTGAGGTGCTTTAAAGATAAATTATTGAAAAGAAATGCACAAATAAATAAGCACTGGAAGAAATTCACGTTAAATGTTTCACAATGCTTATTTTTTCAATAGATAATAGTAAAAATCTTATAAATAAATTTAAATTTTAGAGAATTATAGAATATAATATAATTTTATTATTATGCCTTAATGCTATGTATTAGTGTCTTTTGAAGAAGTGCAAAAATGTGGTGTTTAATATGAATTTTTCAAAGAATGTAGAATTTATTTCTTAATTTTATTTTTAAATAAACATAACCATGAACGATGGAGATAGAAATCATGCGTTCATCTAATAATTACGAAAAATTAGTCTCAAATTTTCATTATTATATAAATCCAAGTTAAAAAAAAAACAAATCCGTTGAAACGGTTGAAACATTATTTAATATTATTTAATGACATTCAAACTAGGGAAATTTGTGTTACTATAATAGTTTTATCTTAATCATGCAAACCCAAATTGACCAAATTGTATACATATTATATTTAGAACTTCAAACATGAGGGTCAAGATAATATTGTCTCAATTTTATTATTGCCCCACGGAGGTATGCAACTATGAAATCCAGCCGTGCCCTGCCTGCATAACAAGCTTGACGATTTGCACTTTCCGCATAGTCGGCACAAAACTGGCGCAGAGCAATAAAAATTTCGCCCTGGCAGTAAAAAAATATTATTGCGAAGGGAACATTTTTTGGGGGGAAAAATATTTCTTTCTATCTACAACCTATTTCTTTTTTACGTCAGTACAAAGGAATCTCTTTTTTGCAAAAGAGAAACGAATTTCAAATTCAAATTGCTCATCTCGTTCCTTTTTACAGAATTCTCTTTGGCGCACGAAACGGCTTTGATAAATAAACAAAATTTAGAAGCACTACTTTCGAGGTAAATGCAAATTGGCTCCTCGCAGTGCATCGCGGGTTTAATTAAAAATGCGTGCTGGTGCGGAGGGCCGGGCGGACGCGTGCTGAGGTGCAAAAATTGAGGCGTGATGAAAACCAGGTCTTATGGTGCCTGGTGGTAGCCACACCAGTGCCGAATTCAGAAAGTAAGAATTTTGAAGGAAGAAAGTGAGTGATCTGTCGTTTGTTGGATTCAAGGGAACTGGATAAAAAAAATTGAAAATATATAGTTTTCAGCAAAATGACATAAATATATTTAAATTTTTCTGACACATTGTAAGTTGGTGAAAAACCACAAAAAGTTGGATTTTTTAAAAAAAAAATTTTAAAAATATGTTTTAATTGAAAATTCTTTTTTAATAAAATTATTTTCAGCGAGACAAGGTATGTTTGTTCTATTTATCAAATATTAACATTTCTTGGACGAGTGTCGTGATGAAAGGCACACGTTTTGCTGTAAAGATTGTCTAGTGAAAGAACAACATGCAAATCCCGGTTAAATTATTCACGCCTATAGTTAAAATTCCAGCGCGAGGAGGAAGAAATTTAATTTGGAAGTGCGTTTAAGAAGCTTCTTTCGCTGGCGTGCTTCTCGCTCGCCTACCTCGGGCTGATTAACAAACAATCTTTGTTTTTTCTCCAAAACGAAATCGGCTCTTTGAGGTCAAAGGTGCACACAAAGGCTGCTGCTTTTGACGGTCGAATAATTGCTCTCTCGTTGGTTTTGGCCGAGACCACATTTGCAAGCACCGAGTCCTCTAATTAAAAGTTGTCCGTTCGCATTTTCAAATCTTTGTGATCAATTTTTGATCGAGTCACGCTCCGCTGCCGACGTTTTCCGACCGTATTTTCATCAATAAATACCGCACCATTAAAATTGCTTTGAATATTTGAAAGCTGCAAAAACTCCTGTCAAAGGCCACCATTGATGTAAATATAGGGAGCGCTTTGAATGAGTGGCTGCGTTTTTGTTTGCATTGTCCCCTTTTCTGTTTTAAATTTGAAA